CAGGAACAAATCCATCTACGCTACCTATGTGTCAAATGATCAGGCGTTTTCCCTTGCCTGAAAGTAATTAGTTATTTTACTTCTCAGCGAGCGCACTAAATGACGAAATTAAGCAACTTACTCTTTTTAGGTTAGTGTAGGATAGGGTCTTAGATTAGTTTTTGGGTGAAGGAAATACTCAGAAACTTGGTTGAGATAGCAAAACTGAGTTCGGAGCTTCCAAATCATTGATTCGATCAGAAAATGAATTAACTGCATCCAAAAAAGTTCATATACTTAGAAACTTACCTGCAGGATTTTTCAATCCCGTCGAAAGGCCATCTAAAAAAGCCTGCCTTGAGGACCTCACAGATCTGTCTACCCAAACCTTTCCCTGCGTATGCCCCACGTTCACATGTTTCGTCTAAATAATAAATTTTTCTTCCTTCAGCGCGGAATTGCCTAATTTTTCTAAGGTATTCTCTCCTCCAGATAACATTTTCCTCCTTTTCTATCAATAAACTATTCCTTCCTCTTTTCAAAAATCGAAAGTCTAGTTCTTTCAACAGCTTATGGAACGTAGATCTTTTAAAATTTAGCAGATCCTCATCATCATTCACTTGCTTCAATATTTTATCTATTGTAGGTATTTCATTCCTGAAGAAAAAGTGATGTACTTTTCTTCTAATGGCACTTTTGTCAAAGTCATCTATTTTTTCGATGATTTTTTTTCTCGCTGGATATGTTTTTGGTTTAGATATTATATATATTGTCTATATTCCTTCAAGATTTTGTAAACACTTGATCGACCTACTCCAGAAATTTCAGCAACCTTACATACGATATTTTCTATAGCCAATCCACTATTCTCTTGCATCTGGTTCTTGTAGATATTTAGAATAACTTGTTTTTCACCTGCGCTAAGATGAAGCTTTTTAGCCCTTTTGCTGGGTGGCGTTAAGCTGATTTCAACCACTTCATCAGCTGTATCTGTGTCAGACATTTTAGACTAATATTAAATTTCCGCAAGAAAAATCAAGTCAAGACGTGCATAAAACGTTCGCGCTCATAAACGATTATCCGTAACTGATTACAATGCTGTGCGTGGTGACAAACCATCAACGTGACGCTGAGAGTTCCCTCTACTATGCAGCGTTGCCAGGCTTAATGTCACAATGATCATGTTTTATTGGGAAAATTGTCAGAAATCGCCGAATGTTGAACAGAAACATTACAAGAAGTCTAACCTTGAAATGTGAGGCTACAAATCGATATTCTTATAGGGGGGAAGGGTAGGGAGCTGTTATGGTTCCTATTAACCTTGGTGAAAGTTGGAAACGGTAATATCATATATGGCATACATTCGGTTGAAGGTGTGTGCACGGAAAATAGATTGCGGATAGGATTTTAATAGATAAATCTGCACAAAAAAACACAAAAGGAGATTTTTGTATTTCCCTGAAGAATATCTCAAGGTTATTTCAGATGTACTCATCGAAACTTTATGGAAGGATTATCGAAACCTTATTTTCAATTGCGATAGGGCCACATACCTCAACATCGCATTAATGTGAAAAATAAGACAATAGAAAAAAATTCCCTCACTGATGCTATCTCTTAGGAAAAATTTAACTATAAAGATTGCACAAAAATTGTCTTCACCTTTTTGAGCTTGTTTTCGCTTCTCCGTATATGCCGTTCATAATTTGCTGCATATCAAATTGGAATATACCTTTGTGATGCCATTTATTGTTATATAATGTCCTTTACAACAGTTATTGCACGTATTGCACCAACAGATTGATTTGTGATCCATGCGAATGTGATCAACCACTCTGGCGAAAACTCGCCGAGCGTGGCAACCGTGCGACTGTGTCTGGAGGCTCGTCGCTACAAGCCAATCAGGAAGAGGCCGACAGAGCGCCATGGCTACCGATCACGCGTTGATCACGAATCAACCACTGTTTACGATTACTTTGTAGCTTCGTTAGATACACTATAGCTCACAGTCAGACTACGCAGATACGCCGCAACCCGCATACCGTGCCAACATATATACCTATAGCCGTATACAATGATGCCACGTGTCTACGCAGCAAACGCATAGAGTCAGAACCGCTCCCACACCCGCAATCTTCACGCTCCTGCATCGCCACTACGCCAGGAATACGAACCAGGATTAGACAGAATACCGGATCAAAGGTAGGCGACAACCACATTTCATTCATGAACCAGCCGCTATACAGTCCACCCGAATACTCTAACACCTGACAACACTTTTGATTGAATCCCAAAATACACGTTTTCTCATTCTTTTTGTCGAATAAAAAGTTTTCCCACAAAAATTGGTGTACCCATTTTGTCCCGCTTGATTCAACCTTCTTATATACGCGCCCGTGGCTTCTCGAATATTCGGGGATGATCGAGAGATCGGTCCAGTTTCCAGTAAATTCGCTGCGGCCTGCCAGCGGTCGCCAGTGGCGTCACATGATATTGTATTTTATCGATAATGTAAGAATTGTGCATATTCGGTATTTGAGAGTAATTTATACATGTGATGTATACATGACCCGTGAAGCGGGTCGCAAGAAAGGAGTTCGCGGGCCTCATGCGGCCCGCGGGCCGTATGTTGGACAGCCCTGACTTAGACAATGCCCTTCCTGGGCGTTGGATAGGTAGAGGTGGACACATACGATGGCCTTCAAGGTCACCCAATTTGAATCCTCTAGATTTTTTATATGGGGGCTTTATAAGGATATACTCTATACATCTGAATACAAAAATGTCAACCAACTATGCCACAGAATTGATGAAGCAAAAAAATATGGAAAACGTAAATTCATTTCAAAAACTAAAGGACAATTTTAACAGAAGGTGTCGCTTGTGTAGAAAATAATGGAGGCCATTTCGAACACGTTCTTTGAAAGTTAGTTAAATTAAATTATCTTCCACATTTGTCGGTAAATCGCCATAGAGAGCGGGTAAACACAATAGGTTCTGTACTTGTAGGTGATAAGGATTCCATTGCGTTTCTTACGTTTATCGCATCATAACAACGAGTGTGGCATGACACACCCATCGTAGCAAGCTGAAAATTTCAGGGTTTATTCTACATGCATTGAAATAGTTTCTACGCTAAAATGAATAAAGAAATACAACCTCAATTTTTTTATCGCCCCGCTTGAGGGATGGAAGAGATTTTTCACAAAAAATGAATTTAAGATTTTTTGCGTTGATTTCCAATAAGCTCTGTTAAAAATGACATAACCATTACTAAAACTTACCATTTAGCTCATCCTAGAAGAAACAATTCAGCCCTAAACCGAATGTTTCAGTTGTAATTGCGATTTGAAAGTTCATTATCCAGTTTTTTTCGAAATTCCACGGAATTGCAAACATCTCCTGCACTATAAAATTTCGGACCACACATATACGGATTCATTCGACCCTCTATCGCCTGACTTGCGTTGATCCACTACTAACTTTACACCCTGTATGAATAGCATTCTAGAAGATATTAAATCATCACTCATTCAAACACTTTAATTTCAGATTGGACTGCAAAGTGTGTATCCATTAATGCAAATACTTCACGGCACTTTTATTACGTGCACTTGTTTGCTCATCTGGCAAACGGCCAGGCAGTGTCCCTTTCATCATTTTAGGATTTAAAATATTGTTTCTGTCCTAAATTTATGTACAAAACATAACATATTTTATTTTTTATTGTAAGATTCATCTTTCGACGTTTAATTTCACTATATGAACATAGACTTGCTTTGATTCCGTGGAAAAGCATTAGTTTTAATAAATTGAGGATGTTTAGTTTTAATCATAAATCTGCTACCTACCTCTTGTTTTCACGGGTAGTACGATTTTCACCACTCAGTGTGTGCATTTTACGAACAATTCTAAATAACTCACAAACTTTATACATAAATACCAGACTTTTATATCAAGATAAAGCTTGTAAAAAATTGAATCCGAAAATATATATTGCGTTCCATTAGTTTTAAAGAGAAAGTACGTTTTGCGTTTTTTTCAACCTGTATTGACAACCCAAAAATTAAATAATTGTGTTGAAATTGAGTAGAATAAAAATACTTTAGCACGAAATCCATTACCCTGCCAGTAAAGTTAGCAAGTTGTCAATCTTTGACGCTTTTTAAATAAAATATCCAATACCTCAACAACCAATAGTCAAAACCCATTAGTTTGTTGTATAAATTTAACTTTTTTTCTAAGGGCCTATCTAGAGGTTAAATAAAAATAAGAAGAATAGAAATAATAAAATAAGAAATCAGACTTACTACGTGGGTCAATATATATTTTAGAAATATGCTCTCTGTTTCCATATAATAACCCATGAAAGTTTTACTTAAAAGTATTTGCTTAGTAGCAATAATTTATCCTCGCAGGGTTGGGAGAATCTGCACAGGATGTTCCGTACTTAAATGGGCATACTGAAATGATGTAGCATGCACCCACAGCTTTTCATATCTGATAATAAAAAAGTTTTAAATTAATTTTTTATGGATATAAGAGTTAATTTATCTAAACACGTATCTCAGGCACTAGGCACTACTGAAGTTCTTACCTAGGAGTAACGTAAAGCTTCACGGACCTTTAAGAATTGGGGCCGGATTCATTTTTTTTGGCCTACTGCTTTTATCGAGATGTTTGACTATGTGCAAAAAATTCACATCCTAGTGGATATCGCTTGCCCTTAATCTTGCTGTGAACCAGTAATGTTGCTGAGCAGCATAAGACAAGAATGTGACTTCTAACTTACGCCTATTAACTAAAATCTCACCGCACGAACATTCAGCGGCTCTAAGCTGTGTTTTTTATGGTTTTAATTTGACTTCCAGCATCCAACGTTTCTGTTGTGTGATATTAAAACGAAAATCAATGACGCAATATCTGACGCGTAATTACGTATACAACCAGTCTTTTTTCACATTGAAAGCCTAGAGACGTTTGAAGGTAAAGAAGCCTGCATTATGTTGTTTTATACTTACATGTAACTACATATAACAACAATAGTTTTGTACACATTATGTAATCAACACAGCCAACTCAATCAAACACAAACGTGACGTTGTGATATCTTCAAACGAAAACGTATTGCGGTATCATCAATTAATCGAAATCTTCTGCACGACACTTGACGATATCAAAGTTATTTATTGCCGTTTGAATTAAATTAGCATGTTTATCTCACTTGTCAACGCTTATAACTTTTAGCAATATACAGTAGCGGACAAAAGTTTGGAAACAAATATTAATTATTAAGAACAAGTTCATATACCTACCTAAATCAAACTGGCAGAGGAACAGATAATATAAATATTAATCTCTACTTTTGTCTCCCGTAGTATGTACAAGGTTTATCTTATCAATATTCAAATTCTCTGAAAATAAAAACACAAGTATTTTTTTAAATACCACAGTTTTAGTAACGACAAAAGTATGGAAACGTTTCAGTGTTGACATATTTTGAGGGAAACATTTAGTAACCTGGTGAAAGCTGGATACATGGTACATTCGTTAAGATTAGTATAAAATACACACAGCTGTATGTCAGGAACACATCAAAACAGATTAAAAATATTTGGAACGAAAGTTACTACATGTTACATCGTGAAACAACCTGATGCTGTACAAAATGGTGTGGCACAGGATCATAAGTAGAATGAAACATTTGACAGATCACAGAAGTCTGGTAGTGTCAGTGTCGATGGATGGAACGAAAATTTGTAAATATATGTGCTATGTTGCCAAATCGCGAAAGATGGTGTGATTTATCAAGATATGTTAAATAAAAACTTGTCAACAGACCAGAGGCAGTTGAACAAACTATATTGTTAATGAGATGGACAATTGAATTAAACAATTATTGTTTTATTATGAAAAAAAAAAGAATTATTCAAATTTGAATGGAATGGAATTTTGGGGGAAAAGGGTGGAATAGACCAAAAAACTAGATTCCATTTATAGTTGTGAAAAATCAAAATTTGGAGAGATGTGTAAATACCCCAACTTTTCACAGTTTAGCAAATACGAGTAAAAGACGTTCAGTTCCTTTACATCTCGTCTTTTTATTCATACAGTTGTTATTCATGAAAATGTGGGTCATTTCCAGGAATAAACGTTTGGACAGTTGTTTTTCTTTATCAAGAACTTTGATACTTGTGTAGTTCGTAGAGTGCCCTGTTGTATTGACATGAGATGCCAGAGCACATCTCTCGGGATGAAGCCTAGAAACACTTTTGTGTGATGTAATCCTTCCTTTCAGAGATCTGAAAGTCTGATCTATGTATATTTGGTTGCAATTATTTTAATTGATGCAGTACACTGTGTTGGTCAAACCAAGCAACGGGACTCTGTCTTTCATCCTTGAAAAAATACAGTTTATTGTGAGGATGGATTTGCAAGCAATTCTACAGTTCAACGAGCTACATACAGGTTTTTTCCGGAAAGTAATAGGACTCATTTTCTTCCCTCATGACTGTACTTCGGAGCGTGCGCGCGCCGACCGGATTCGGTAGAGGGCGTTCCTAGCTAACGAATGAGCGGCTGGTCAGTTGTCTCTGAGCACTTGGAGAGTCAGGACAGGCATTTTCGCGCGACGTGTTTCTGTGAGTGGTGCAAGCCGAAAATGCAGCGCTCTTTAGAGCAGAGGTACGCGATTAAATTCTGTGTGAAATTCGGTAAATCTGCGACAGAGACGTTTGATATGATCAAGCAGGCTTACCCAGGCGTTGCTTTAGCAAGAAGTGGTGTGTTTCGGTGGCACCAGGCCTTTTTGGGGGGCCGGGAAGAGGTCGCTGATGAAGACCATGCTGGGAGACCTTCGACTTCGACAAACACTGATAATGTGACTCGTGTACGCAAAGTTTTGAACTCAGACCGTCGACTAAGTATTCGTTTAATTGCTCAGATGTTAAATTTACCAAAATCTGTGGTTCGCGACATTGTGGCACAGCATTTGAACATGCGCGAGGTTTGCGCGAAGATGGTCCCAAAAGTGCTCACTGACGACCAGAAATTGCGGCGAGTGGAAATGTGCCAAAAAAATTTGAACATGTATGAAAGTGACCCCAAATTTTTGAATAACGTAATCACAGGTGACGAGTCGTGGATCTTTGAGTATGATCCCGAAACAAAGAGGCAATCTTTCGAGTGGCACACGACGGCGTATCCTCGCCCAAAAAAGGGAAGAATGAGCAAATCCAAAGTGAAAACGATGCTCTTTGTCTTTTTTGACATCAAAGACATCGTCCACCATGAATTTGTTCCTCCTGGACAAACCGTCAACGCCAAGTTTTACGTGGAAGTGCTCAGGAGACTCAAACGAAGGGTCAGTCGAGTCCGACAAGACATCGCAGCCGACTGGAAGTTGCACCAAGACAACGCCCCGGCTCGTACCGGCTTTCTTGTGAATAGCTACCCGTCCAAGGCCGGCATCCCAACGCTTCCGCAGCCGCCCTACAGCCCATATGTGGCCCTCCCGGACTTTTTTTGTTTCCTCGCCTGAAAAAGCCGATGAAAGGCAAGCATCTTGAGACGACAGGGGGGAACCAAGCAGCATGCACCGCAGCTCTCAAGGCTATTCCAGAGAATGCCTTCCGTGACGCCTTCAATGCTATCGATATCGCGCTGGCAGCGCTGCATCAAAGCAGAAGGAGCCTATTTTGAAAGTTTTTAAAGAATTGTAACGATTGGCTCAATCAATTTTTTTAAATCTTAAACTTAGGGGGTCAGTTCTTTGATATAGTATAGAACAGCAAAGCCAGATCTGGAATTTGGGATGGCGGTTATATTGTTATTGGAATTGGTGTGGTTGTTGGGAATCATATCAGTTCTATTATTTATTAGTTGTTGTGAGAATATTATTTGGATTATTAGTATTTGGGTATTTTTAAAATACTGGAAAGAGAGCTGAGCTAGGTCTTGTTGATCAAACACTTCGAATAACCATCGTTAATGAACAGTTTTGATAGCTTCCGTAAATTTGAAGTATGAAAAGTATTCCCAGAGATGTTAATTACTCTTGTTTTCATCTGCTTCACCAAGTTGATCTTAATCGTTAGTTTATGGTATGACCTGAAATTGGAGAAACCACCTGAAGATACGGGTTTCTGGTATCAGTCTACCAATAAGCTATTATTGTTGGTGCGGATGAGTCTTGTGTCTAGAAAAGGGACAGAAGGGTTCTCATCTTCTTTTTCAATGGTAAATTGGATGTATGGGTCATAGCTGCTGAAATTTTTGACAATACTATCTAAACCTCTGGAGGGAAAGCACAAAACAATGTCGTCTACGTATTGTTTTTATGAAGAAGAGGTTATAGGGTAGTGTCGGAGTAACAGCATCAAGTAGATCATCCATAACCCATTCTGCCAAAATTGGTGATAGAACAGATCCCATAGGATAATCATGTGTCTGAGAATATGTTTTGTTGTTGAAAGAGAAGTAGTTATTATGAAAGAGAAATGTTATAATGTTGGTGAAAGATTCTAGAGATGTGTTTCAGTATTGACTTATCTCATCCCAATGTAGTAATCATTATATGTGCCGATTTTAGTATTTCCGATATTAATCAAGAGAAAGCCTGGGTGGTTGAACCTATTGATGCAACTAGAGGTATTACTGAGAGTACAGGTTTATGTATTTTTGAAAGTGCATAGAATTTAGGAGGGAGTGAGTTATAAGTAGTCAACGTTCTTTTTTGTTCTTGGGTTAGTTGTCCAGTGCTGAGTTCCCTAACAGTGGCATTACTTTTATTTTCCACCTTTGATGTAGGATCTCTATTAATTTTGTGCTATAATGGATCATAATTGGTAAGATTGCTACAAAGAGCCAAATAGTGTTGTCTTAGCATTATCACTGTAACATTGCCTTGGTCAGATCTTGTGACCATGAGTTCAGCATGTTGTTTTAGAAATTTTCTAGTTTTGCTTAAAAGGCTGTGATAGAAGGAATGTTTCTTGCAGCGTCGTCACTTATGAAGGAAGCAATTAGGTCTACATCGGCTAGGACGGATCTGATTGGAATGTCACTGTTAACAATCAACTCCACGCTGAACTTAGGCCCCAGGCTTTTTTATAACCTCTTATCGCACGACGTACTCTCTCTCTCTCTCTGGCGAATAGTAAAACCGTCAATTCCATTAGGCCGCGCTCGCTCCTAATACGTCTTGCCAGCTGTATATCTTTCGGAATGATGGTTACTCACTTAGCGTGGATGGCGCACAAGTTCGTATCCTCGAATAGTCCGATTAGGTAGGCTTCGCTAGCTTCTTGTAGTGCCATTACAGCAGAACTTTAGAACCGCAAATCGGTCTTGAAAACTTGCGCTATTTCACGGACTAGCCGTTGGAAGGGCATTTTTCTGATCAACAATTTGGTACTTTTCCATTATTTTTCACCTAACTGGTCTAGACGACAATGGCCACGACTTAAGTTATATATACATATGTAGTATCACAAAACAATAAAGTAAGAAGTCACTTTAAGGATACGAAAATTCGTTTATTGTCGTTTGTCTCCCGTGAAATGGTGTACAAAAAATCGAACTTCTAATTTAGAAAAAAGCTCCAAAGACTCTGCATCTCCTTGACGTTCGACAAAACTTTCCAGTTGCTTGGCCAGGATAATAGCTTTACCATAATTTGGAATAGCTTTTGTTGGTACTGTATTTTTAATTTTTTGGTCTGAATTTAGATATTTAACATAAAACTTCCATCTAGGTTTAAAACACCATAAAGGTTTTCATTATCAGTCAATTTCAATGAATGCTTATTTTTGAGGATATATGAAAGCACATTAAGTGATAAGCCATCTGGGTCAGGTGGATCAGCCTCATTTAGCTGCTATGCACTGTTTCTTTGGTTGCTTGGTCCCAAAAGCTGTACCAGCAGATTCAATGTATTCTAGCAGGTGTTTTGTTACTAGACTTCGAGCCAATTTCACCAAAAACAGTCCGATATTCTCCACCTATAGGGTATAACAGACCGTCAAATACAACGGGTAAGCTTCAAGTTCCAATCAACAAATTTTAGCAACCAATAGCTACGAAATGTTGAAAACAAAATACTGTCAATGTATGAGATGACAGCTTGTCATTGAAACATCACCAGCTTATTGAATATTAAGAAATTACATATAATTCAGTCAAAGTTTAAACAAATGTTGGATTTTTGAATAACATTCATGTTTTAATATACTATTGTTGATCTTTTATTCATGTTTAT